GAATAAATGGATCGATGGAGAGAGAGAGAGGGAGAGAGAGAGAGAGAGAGAGAGAGAGAGAGAGAGAGAGAATGAATGAATGAATGAAAGAAGAGAACAAAGAGGCAAAGGTCGAAAGTACCGAATGTCAAAGTTGGTGGTTACTCCTTTTCTCTCTGTATGTTACTCTCAAGTAACACCTCTTATGTTTGACACTTATATGACCTAATTGTGTGGCATGTGCCTTAAGACTGTTACTAAGACCTAGCACTTCTAATCTTCGACACTTATATGACCTATTTGTGTTGCAAGTGCTGTAAAATTCTTACTAAGATAAAACACCTCGAATCTTTGGCACTTTTAAGTATTATCTATTTGTGGTGGCCAAATTTTGCTATTCAAAAGGCTTTTTAATGGCTGCATCGATCGACAAGCGGTTTTCGCCAAAAGATTCTTTAAATTATTCTCCAGATCATGACGCCCTTCGTCTTTTCAGTTTTGAGACAGTTTTGCAGCAAAAAGCTAAATTTCTTAATTCCGTCGATCACTTTTGTAGGCCGACGCTTATCTGTCTCTGTAATTTTAGAAAATCCGCCAGGTTTGTTTATTTCAAGTTGTACTTCCGTTTGATACTATCGCGCAATACTGAGAACTATTTTAAGTGTGCGACCCGTATAGATCTAGCCTCATGTTTTCTTTTTTTTTCCCCAAGACTTTCACTTGATGTTAATGCACCGATCATTCCTTTCATCGAAAGGGGGGCCAAGCTATTATGACCCATTTGCGGTGCAAGTGCTGTAAAACTCTTACTAAAACTAAACATCTCGAACCTTCAGCACTTCTATGACCTATTTGTGTCAGAAGTGTTGTAAAAACTCTTACCAAAACTAATCACCTCTATTCTTTGGCCCTTTTACGTCCTATATGTGTTAAAAGTGTCGTAAAACTCTTACAAAAACTAAAACATGATCCAAATTGAAGATGTCGGACCTGTGTGTGTAAAACTCTTACTAAAACTAAACACCTCTAATCTTCGAAGCTTATACGACCTATTTGCGTTAAAAGTGCCGTAAAACTCTTACTAAAACTAAAACAATATCAAAATTGAAAGACGATGTCGGACCTGCGTGAAAGCTCCATCCTGCCCGACGCCCGTCTGTACAGAGACGAGGCCCAGCATCGAGAAGAGGCGGAGGAAGAGGCGGCCCAGCGGCGGCAACGACCCCGTTTTGAACACGCTCAGGCTCATGGTCAGCTTGCCAGAGGCTGGGTCCACTCTGTTGAAGGAAAAGAAAAAAAACAGGGGAGCGAGGGTTATTATATTTTGTTGTTTGTTGTTGTTGTTGTTGTCGCTATTGTTGTTGTTATTGTTGTTGGTTGTTGTCATTGTTGTCATTATTGTTGTTGATGTGGTCATTGTTATTGCTGTTGTTGCTGTTGTTTAGTTTTAGTACTGTAAAGTACAGAAAAAAGGTGTGTAAAGTAAGCATTCGCTTGAACTATTAAGTTAGTTTTAGTAAAAGTTTTACAGCACTTGCAACACAATAAGGTCATGTAAGTGCTAAAGATGGTAGGTCTTACATGAAAACAAAAAAAGAAGGAGAGATAAAGATGACAGATGTCTTAAAGGAAAGAAGAAGCAAACCACACCACACCACACCACACCACACCACACCACCCGCTAACCACCCACTGTTGTTACTGATCCAGCAACAGCCGTTCCCTCGCCCTTCTGTCAATAAAATTCAAAGACAGCACATCTGGTCAGGGTACGCAGTTTAATACTTAACAGTTAAATGTTCTGCTCGCAAATTGCAGGATATTTTTTCCGTCATTGTTCCCAGCAGAATTTTGAATTTTATAAAGGCCATTGGCCTTTATGGCAAGCTGTAAAATGAAAAATGAAAATGTACTATTTAAAATGTTTATTGTTACCTATAAGAGTTGTTTTAAATCACAAATATATTTACACTAAATTTTAATATTTTAACATTTTAGCATTTTAAAGTCAATTAGTTGACCAGTCGTGGAGTGAACTTTTGCAAAAGTAAACAACTTGTGTTTCGCGCGCTCATATGACCTTAGCAGCTGCGAGCGCCATAAAACCCTATACTACATACATACAGACAAGACTGACCACATGGTCTCGTCCTTTTATACTGTTCACAACAATGACAAGGGGACAAGGGCAATCACTATGGAAGGACGAAGACAACTCATGACAGTTAAGGGTGGTCAGTAAGAATAATGGACGAGGACAACAGGACACTGAGTTATTGGGTTAAATCCCTTAAACATGTATGACAATGACAACACTACACTGCCCAATGCCATGTAGTGATAAGTGCAGGTTTGCTGCAGTTGCTGTAATGTTCATAACTAAACCAGAAACTAAATTCATTTTGTTTTAGACAAGAGATAAGCCCTCAAAATTATAAACATTAAACAAGTCAATAATAAATACTTTGTGAAAGACTTCTAAAAATATAACAAAACATGATTATTTTATCAATCCACAGCGGTCTTGTGTTGACAGACACGTTTGTAAACAAAAAGCTCCCCTGAACTAGGGTGTGGCATATTTCCTTACATCTGGGCGTGACCCCCCTTTACCCCTCCCACACCAATCCCCTCCCTAATTTCCTGGGGGGGGGGGGGGGGAGGAGAGAGGAGGAGGGCCTGAGTGGTGGTGGGGGGTGTGGAGTTGGGGGTAGGGGAATGGAGAGGGGTGGGCAGGTGAGAGAGACAATGGTTTTTACAATTACAACATTACATTGGGTGTGGTTGTGAATGTGTGTCTATACGTGTGTGCGCGTGTATATGTGTGTGTGTGTGTGTGTGTATTTGTTTGTGTGTGTGTGTGTGTGTGTGTGTGTCTGTGAGTGTAAGTGTGTAAGAGAGTGTGTGAGAGAGAGAATGAGAGAGAGTATGTGTGTGCATATATCCACACTAGGTGGGGCAACACGCACACATAATAATATGTCACTATCAGTCAGAATTCTCCGTCAACACCCATTCCCACACAGTAGGGAACACTACAGCTGTCTTCAGAATATTCTAGACCAAAGTACAACCATTCAACATTAGATATAAAAAAAACAACCAAAAACCATCCCTCACTCCCCCCCACCCCCCAAAAAAAACCAACTAAATAAATAAAACCCTCAACAACATTGACAATCTTATCATCACTTTAACAGAGAAACACGTTCTGAAGAGCTCTTAGGGTGTCTCTTCCCAAGGGTGGTTGACGGGTGCTCTAGCGTGGTTTGCTCCAACACTACTAAACATTAATCATCCTTATCTCGACTGCTTCTTGTAAGGCTGCACCAATTACCATGCCCCTAGGGCAGTGCTACTGTCTGAAGTGTCTTTAGGCCATTCCCAAAGGGGGACATTTGCGTGTTCTTATGCACAGTAGAACTGTAAATGGGCTGATTTATCAATGTCATGCTCATACTGTGCCGGAACAACATAGGCAGAACTGCTGCTTTTTCTGTCCTCATCCTTACTATCATCATCTTTCCTCTACTTCTTTTGTATGTTCGTCAGTCTCTTGTGAACTGCTACTTCCGGGGTGCCTTGATAGTCGAAGCAGACTTTGTGCTGTTGAGGCTAGAGAGGTGAGCTGAGTAAGCCTGATTCCCTGTTTGGACTTCTTTGATGACATCCACCCCTTGGTGCTCATATGACCTTATGCAGTTGCGAATGCCGTGAAACCTTTCTAAAGCAAACAAACCAAACACCATTTTGAAAAGCGACGTATGACAGATGTCTTACACAGAGCAGTTGGTCTTTTCTCCTTTTGGAAGCTCTAAAAATATAGTTAAAATTGTCCAACACATTCTCAATTTTACCTAGGAAACCGCAAACTGGGTGGGTGGGGGTGGGGTGGGGGGGTGTAGGGTGGGAGGAAAGCAGTCGTTTGTACTGGTGATAGTCTTGGACAGGTGGCCGTTAGATCAGGTTCGACTATAATGTTAAAATCATACGGTTCTGTCTTTTGAACAGCCTAAAATAAGTTGAAACAGGTGCAGAAACTGAAAAAAGAGACTGCCCTGGGTAAGCGGTGAAGGGCGCACGTGATGAAGTGGAACAGTTGGAGGTGAGGGGAGAGAGGTGATCCTCTTGGTTAATACAGTATCATATATTATATTTTGAAAGGGACGGGAGAATTGTGAGGAGTGGGAAGTGGTCGTTTATACTGGTCTTGAACAGCCTAAAACGAGTTGAAGCAGACTCAAAACCACAAGACTGACCTGGGTAATCTGTGGCGGGGGCAAGGGATGAAATGGAAGAGTTGCGGCAGGGAGTACAGGAAGTTGAACACCTGCGGGATGAAGAAGAGGAGCATGGTCTTGCTGAAGTGAGACAGGATGCCCACCACGGCGAAGGTCATCCCGGCAAAGTAGCAGTAGGTGTCGCCCACAAACACACGCGACGGGTACCTGGCACAGTGGGGTTGGGGGGGGAAGAGAGAGACAGGGGGAGGGGGGCGGAAAGTGGAGGGGGAGGGGA